ATGCGCCACCATGCCCAGCTAATTTTTTGATTTATTGTAGAGATGAGGTCTCACCAAGTTGTCCAGGCTGAGATTATAGGTGTGAGCCACTGCATCTGGCCTGGAGGCAGGTTTTTGAGCAACAAAACACTAGTGAGTTGCCACGTTTCCACGATCTTCTCACCAGCCCTTGAGGGCTGTAGAAAGAAAGCAGAAAGCCAGAGAGGAGGAATACCAGGAAGGGTGATCACATGTCATCTATCACTCATACCTGAAGCTGACTTTACTTTCAATGGTCTATGCTCAAATCTGTTTACAATTTGCTATATCCTGTCCTGGATTTCTTTTTTTTTTTTTTGAGTTGGGGTCTCACTTTATCACCCAGGCTGGAGTGCAGTGTCTCACCACAGCCTCCAACTCCTAGGCTCAGGCGAGCCTTCCATCTCAGTCTCCCAACTACAAGTATGCCACAACATCTGGATTATTTTTTTATTTTTTGTAGAGACGAGGTCTCACTACATTGCCCAGGCTGGTCTTGAACTCCTAGGCTCAAGCAATCCTCCCATCTCAGCCTCCTAAAGTGCTGGAACTACAGGTGTGAGCCACCACACCTGGCCCCGTCCTGGCTTCTCGAATGGACAATGCCCACCAAACCCGTAAGATCATCTTCATATAATGAGCCTGTAGTCCAGCATCTGGATCAACCAGCCAATTGTGCCCAGTCCTGGGTCCAAGTTGGCTAGGAGCTGGGAAGTCTTCCGGAAGAGGTAGCACAGAAGCTAGTCCTTGTGTGTGTCACTTCACTAAGGTGGGTGGCGCAATGGGACTGCAATGACTGCCTTTGTGCTTCTGGCACCTCCCCTGGCACTGCTGCTGTCCCTTCTGAAGGCCCTGTGCCTGCCATCTCTCACTTTCCCACTAATTTGCTATTTCTAATCTGCTCTGAGCTGGGAGACCAGATAAAATGGGCCTAAACATTTTCGAATCTGGCAGTCTGCCAAGTGTTCAAGACACATGACTTCATGTGACCCTCACCACAGCCCCCACGGGGAGGCACATCCGCAAAAGCTGTAGGACTATGCAGGTCACTTTAGTTTCCATGCTATCTCTAAAATGGGGACAGTAACAATAGCTACCTCATAGGACTGGTGTGAGGATTAAATTAACACACATGGACTGCTTGGAAGGGGCCCAGCACACAGTGGCCAAATTACATTTTTTTTCTTCTTCTTTTGAGTTGGAGTCTCACTCTTTGTCGCCCAGGCTGGTGTGCAATGGCACTCTCATGGCCACTGCAGCCTTGATCTGCTGGGTTCAGGTGATCCTTCTGCGACAGCCTTCCAAGTGGCTGGAACTACAGGCGCATACTACCATGCCCAGCTAATTTTTTATTATTGTAGAGATGAGATATTGCCATGTTGCCCAGGCTGGTCTTGAACCCCTGGGTTTAGGCAATGCTCTCACCTCAGCCTCCCAAAGTGCTGGGATTACAGGCTTGAACCACCGTGCCTGGCCCAAAATGACATTATTAATAAAATAAGATGGTTGGGCAACTTGGCAAGACCTCGTCTCTACAATAAATCAAGAAAATTAGCCAGGTGTGGTGGCACATGCCTATAGTTCCAGCTATCTGGAAGGCTGAGATAGAAGGATCACCTGAGCCCAGCAGATCGAGGCTGTGGTGGCCATGAGCGTGCCCCTACACTCCAGCCCAGGTGACAGAGTGAGACTCCAACTCAAAATACAAAATAAATACAATAAGAGCTAACATTCTGCAAGCATTTACAGAATTCCAATAAATTGTTCTAAGTGCTTTGTACAGATGAGCTCATTTGATCCTCCCAAGAAACCTATAGAGTAGGTATTATGACTTCCCCTATCCTACAGATGAGAACACAGAGGCAGAGAGGTAAGCAGTTTCCTGAAGACCACAAAACTGGTAAGTTAGAATTTAAACTCAACCATGCAGTTCTGAAGCACATCCTAAGTGTTCAATAAATGCTGCTATTCATGACTTTTGACCGGACACCACTCTGTCTGTAGACATGCTAACTGTCTCACACGTAAGAACGCAAGCCCTTGGGAGCAGGGATCTGACACCACACCTGTGCACCTACAGTACCCCCAGGAAAGCTTAAGGCAGCACCTCGGATGTCAGTGAGCACACAAACAAGATAGAATCACAGATCCCTGCCCCAGCACCCAGTGATGCTGAGACAAGTGGTCCTATGACCCTGCTCTGAAAAGTCATGTTTAAAGAACAATTCCTGGGCAGGGCAGGCCTGGGCAGGGCAGGAGCTTCCTGCTTGCTGCTCCCACCCCTGTCCCGGCTGGAGTATCCCCACATGGTGGCCAAGGTCTGAAGCCTAACCTCCAGATGAAGGGAGCTGGTGTCCGGGACTCTTAAGAATTAGGAAAGCAGAAGCTTCCTGGCTAGATGCTGGTGACAATCCTCCAGCCTGAGGAAGGCCGGGAGCATCGAGATGGGCCGGGCATGCAGGGTGGGAGGTAGAGGCAAAGGGGGGCATCCCAGCACTGTCAGCAGCTGGCACTTGGCATCACTTCTGGAACCCTGGGGTCTCTGAGGGTTCGTCAGTGCAGCCTGCAGGGGAGCTGCCTTGCAGCTTCCAGCACCAGAAGAGCTTGTGCAAAAAGAAATCTCCAGTTTCATTTCTTACCACTCACCTTGGCACACCTTATGCTGCATCCATCTCCCTACACACATTAGGTATCTGTAAGTCCAAGCTTTGGTTACACTCTTCTCTCTGCCAAGAATACCAATCGCCCTGGGCTCTAGTCTCCTTGCTTCAAGGGCCAGATCAATGCCACCTCTCCATGAAGCTACCCAGATCATGCCAGCTGGTAGTGAGGCTGGGCCCCAAACATTTGGTCTTTGTGCCTGTGACTCATCTCTCCTACTGCATGAGCAGAAACCATGTCTCCATCACCCACTCACTCAACACCCACTGGGCAGTCACTGGGAACAGGAAGCTCCATGATAAGGATTTCACAGTAACTAATGAATCCCAGTTCCTGCCCCTTAGGGGAGGGCAGACACCCTAGAGGGCAAGGAGAAGGTGTTTAGGGCACAGTAGAACCATCACCAACCTGTGCAGGGTCGACCTTGGACACACGGGTACTAGATGACGACTTAGCATATGGAGGTTAAAGCCGGGGCCTGGCTACCCGGGGGCGGGGTGCCCAGGGGCAGCCTTAACAGTCACCCCCCAAGCACTGACCTGAAGCAGGAGCAACTGCTGGCTGTGCGAGGGAACCCCCCACAGACAACTGCTCCCCAGGGGGAGGGATCAGGGTGGAGGTTCTGCTCCCTGGGGGTGGGGGCAGCAGGCTCAGCCCTCCTGTACTAGCAGGCCGTACTCGGGAAGTCCCGGCTGCTCCTTCCTTCTTCTTCATGTTCTAGAGAGAGGAGAGAGGAGAGGAGTGCAAATCGGTCAATCCTGCTGGAGTACCACTGCCACGAGAAAACCCCACAAGGAGAGCCAAGGTGGCCCCCAGGCCCCAACATCCATGTAGCCAAAAGATGGTCCTCCCCAGCACCTCCACTGTCAGAGCTATACTCAGTGCATCATGATTCTGGATCCATCACGAACACGGCTTGTTTTAAAAGCCAGCACCCCCTGTATTCATCATCAGAGAAACACAAATCAAAGCTGCCACGATATACCACTACAAACCCACCAGGGTGGCTAAGACAGAGACCGTCAAGTACTGACTAGGCCATGGGGCAGGACAGCACAGCACTCACGTGCTGCGGGTGGAGTGTGAGCTGGTAAAACTACTTTGAAAGTGTGTTTGAAAGGTGCTATAAAGCTCAGCATAGGAACTCAGGACTCTGCAATTCCACTCCTAGATACAGACCCAACAGAAATGCACATGTATGTGCACTTAAAGTCATACTTTCACAGCAGCCCTATTTGTAATAGCTCCAAACTGGAAACTGCACAGTGTCTACCATCAGGAAAGCAGATAAATAAACGAGGTACACTCTCACAATGGAACTCACATCACAGCAATGAAAATGAACAAGCCATGTGCAACATGGATGACTCTCACAAACATTCTGCTGAGTAACAGGAAGAAGTCATACCACAAGAGCACAGAGTGTACGATTCAATTTGGGAAAGTTCAGAACAAACAAAATCTAGGTACTCAAGGTTAAGGTTAGTGGCCACTCAGTTACTCGGGATATGTAGTTACTGGAAGGGATCAGGAGAGGGGCTACCAGAGTGCTGAGAATCTTCTGCTTCTTGACCTGAGTGCAAGTTCATATAAGTTGGGCTTTAAAACATTTAGGTGTGGTGGCTTACACTGTGATCCTAGCACTGTGGGAAGCCAAGGTGGGAGGATCACTTGAGGCCAGGAGTTCGAGACCAGCCTGGGCAACATAGCAAAATCCCATCTTCACTATTTAAAAAAATAGAATAAAATTCACTGAGTTCTGCATTTGTGATTTGTGCATTTTTGTGTATGCATGTTATGCTTCAATAAAACATCAAAGGAACCAAAACTGAGCACCAAGCATGAGCCAGAAGACAACACAAGTCACACAGATGAAGAAGACACATTCCCCACTTGTAAGGAAAGCAGCAGCTTAATCACCTAGTGAGACCAGCCCTGAAGTCAAAAGACCTCAGCGACCTCTATGTGAGCCCAGCTGTGCCAGATATTTTTAGCTCTGTGACCTGGCCCAGGGCCTATACCTCTCAGCCTTAATTTCCTCATCTTAAAGAGCAAAGCAGATGTTGGAAATCATACAACAAACGCCTGAAGACACTACCTGGCCCACAGCTGATGCTCATTACATGTTAGTTTCCTCCAAGCAAGAGAAAGCATCACATCCCAACCAGTCCAGGGATTGGACTTGGATTTTCTCTTAAGGGCCAGTTGGCCAACTTCAAGGGTCCCAAATCATCACCAGCATGAAGCAGAAAAGAGGAGAAAGAGATGGTAAGTACAGAGAAAAGCATTACTTTAGACTTACTAAGTTTTGCAAAAAACAAATTCATTTGGTCGTTGGTGCCCCAAGTCATGACTCTGAGTCCACCTCCCCTCTCCACCCTGCAGCAGGTACAGCCAAGTCTTGGCAGCCCATCCCAGCCCAGCCCGTTCTTATCAACAGAAGCCACTGGGAAAGCCAGATGCTGAGCAGTTCAGAACCAAGTCACAGGGAGCCAGGACACCACCACCACAGGAGCTGCCATGACTCCCAGCGCCCACCCCAGTCTTCCTTACTCAAGGCATGAGGCCAAGACACAACTTGGGATGGACACGCTGAGCCCTCCTGAGCCCCAACAGCCAGGACAGAAACACCACCTCTGGTGGCAAGTGACTGACACTCTTCTCAACTCAGAGGTTTTGCACATGCTGTTCCTTTGCTGGAAACACCCTTTGATCCCTCTTCCTTTGCCTATAGGTTGCTTCTTTCAAGAAGCCTTCCTTGGGTCCCCCATCTATGGGTTGACCCTCCTCTAGGAGCCCACAGCACCCAGGGCATCCCTGAGCTGCGGAGCGGCCCCCCCCCCCCCCCCCCCGCAGTCATACCCGCACCTGCCAGTCTGGGCTCAGTTCAGCTCAGTCCCATGAGAGCAGAGGCCTCTCACTCACCCTGGTGCAGTGCCTGGCACAGGGCAGCCGCACAGTAAACAACTGTGAACTGAACTATGAGTGGGCTGGGTGGCCCCCAGGCATCACGTGACTGCAGCCACCATGGCCAGGTGAGGTGGGACTCACTGCAATGCTGAGCTTGATGGTCTGGCCCTCCTTGAAGCCCAGGTCCAACTTGGGGCCTTGGTCTGGGTTCTGGGCTTGTTTCGCAAATTCACTCTGCTGTTTCACCCACCTGGAGAGAGATGGGAGGAAGACGGTGAGGAAGAGCCCACCAGCCCTGTCCCACTCACTTCCCGACTCCCTGCCATCAGTCGGGGTTGGGGTTGGTATTGAGGCAGGGTGGGAGAATGAGGGCTGGGGAGTCAGGCCTAAGATCAAGCCTGGGTTCAGCCACTTTAGGAGCTGCACGCACATCTGCTTCGTCAACGGCACAGGCTGACAATGACACCAGTTTTCAGGACTGATCTGAGTGCCCTGTGAGATCACTTGTGTCAGGGGCCTGCTGCCGGACTCCAGGACATGTGGAAATCCAGCCCTTCCCCCGCCGCCCTTGGCCTGAGAACTAAGATGCAGTCTTTACATGCCCCGAATGCTCATAAGGTTGATGGGAGACAAGGCAAACGCCAGAAGTAGAGGGCAGCACAGAGGTCCCCCACCTGCATCCCACACCAACCCGCAGCCAACTGTGACAGGCACCAGATGAGGGCAGAGCCAGCAGCCCATGTGAGCAGCCAGGCACCGCCCACTTGCTGGTGGTACGAGTTGGAGGCCTGCAGATGGCCGAGTCTGCTCCTGCCCTGTCTTTGAGCTTCATAAAGGACACCAGGCATCTGCTGGGTGGCCCAGGAGTTCGAGGACCATGCATGACACCATGGAGGGGCAGGTCTGGAAAGGCCAAAGGGGCTGGTAGGGGAAGAGATGTGACACCATGCAGGCTAGGACAGCTGACTGGGAAGGGACAGATGGGCCTCCCAGCACAGACAGGACAGGCAGAGCAGAGTGGAGAAGGCAGCCTCGCCCAAGGGAGAACCGAATCTTCCTGACAAAACCCACACTCCCACTCAGGTACCCTAACCAGGCACTCACTGGCCAGGGAAGGAGGGGGACAACCTGAGCAGCATCTCCCAGAACCACTCACTTGAAATGGTCCTGCAATGCAACATTGAAGTCAAAGGCATCACCTCGGTCTCCGAAGCCAATTCCAATAAACGCCCGTCGCCCTGGGAGACAACACGTGATCAGTCCCACCTGCCGGCAGGGAGAACTTTCTCAAGAGGAGGCAGAACCAAGAGCGAGGCATACCGTTTCCATCTTCAATGCGGATCACGAAGTACCGGCTGGAATCCGTCACACTCTCCACAGCCATGCCAGGAAACTGGTCCACTGGGGCCTGAGCAAAGAGCTCCCCTGAAAGCATGAGTTAGGGTGAGTCCAGGGCCCCCTTCCAGTCTGGTATTTCTATCACACCACAGGCCTTTTCCCTGCAAGGAATCTCTGGCAAGCTGAGGCAGATGGGCAAACCTTGCTCTGGGATTCAAAATAAATCTACGCTTGCTGAAGGGAAGACCCAGGAATGTAACTAAAAAAAGGCTTCAGTCAGGTATGGCTCACAGGTCAATCCAGTCCACAACTTAATATTTTTTATTTAATTGCTGAGCATTTCAAAATCAGATTGCATGTAAAATCATCCAAATTTCTGACTTCTCTTAAAATGAAGCTTGGCTGATATTGGATACTGGCCTCCATTCCCCAGGGAATGATGGGCTGGAGCAACCATCCACCTGTCCCATCTGTCCACCCACTGCTATTACTGCCTGAACCCTGGGCACCCCAAGGCAGGTGACCCTAGCGCAGGCATATCACTCCTTCAGAAAGGGCTGGGACCTGAGGCAGGCCTATAAGGGGCCAGCAAGTCCTGTGGAAAGAAGGGAGAATGTTGTTTTTTTTTTGAGTTGGAGTCTCACTCTGTCGCCCAGACTGGAGTGCAGTGGCCACTCCCGGCCACTGCAGCCTCGACCTGCTGGGCTCTGGCGATCCTTCCGCCTCAGCCTTCCGAGTAGCCGGAATTACAGGCGCGCGCTACCACACCCGGCTAATTTTTTGATTTTATTATAGAGATGAGGTCTCGCCTGCCCAGGCGGGTCTCGAACCCGCGGGCTCAGGCAATCCACTCACCTCAGCCTCCCAAAGGCGCGGGATTATAGGCTGAGCTACCGAGCCCAGCTGGGACAATGTTTTCACACCCACAGAAGAATCTAAAGCAGGCTGGTGTCATTCAATCTCAGACGCAAGGCAGGAACAATGGGCTCAACAGAAGTCTTGGGAAACGCACCCCTGTCAACGCCGGTGCCACAGATGTGATACACACGCAATTGTGAGCATTTACGAGGCTCATCACCCTCACACGTGCTGACCTCTATTGGTGCTTTAAGTAATTTACCAAGTATTTTCTACTGAGTCCTGTGTAATCAAAGCTGAACTGAATCAAAACAGATGGCCCTAGTCTGCTGCTTCCCGTCAGTTAATCTGTCCTCCATCCAAACACACTGGGATGCCTTCAGCCTAGAGCAGTGGTCCTCAACCAGGGCAGGGGGAGAGGGGGAGCAAGGATTTTGCTCTTCCCCCCCAAAAAAGACTCTGGCAATGTCTAGGGACATTTCTGGTTGTCACAACTTGGGGGGTGCTACTGGCACTTGGTAGGGATCTTACATTGGCCTCCGCAGCCCCCTACAACAGATTCATCAGAACCTAAGCGTCAACACTGCCGAGGCTGGGACACCCTGGGCTAGAGTGACATGCTCATGACTTCACGGGAAGGGCAGAGACTACCATAACCCGGGCATGAGCCTGAGCCAAGAACATCTTGGGGTGGGTCCTGCAGGTGAGTCTCGGCCCTAAGCAGTGGCTGTGACATTAGGCAGTTATGTTCAAGTTCAGAGGCCCAGGGTCTCCAGAGAGTGGGAGACCCACCAGGGACGTCCCAGCAATCCTCCGGCCAAGATCCTCTGGCCTAGCTGTGGGAGCTGCCTCTTTAAACTCCTCTGCAGTCAATATGCACCTGCTAACTCCAGGTTCCAGAAAAACTCAATGCTGTGGGTTGCCTTGCAGTTCATAGGCAATCAGGCAATTTTCCACTCACTTCCTACTTCCATCAACCTTGTGAAGGAGGAACTAATGTCCCTACTTCGACAAAGAGGAGGCCAAGGCTCCAGAGGTCAGGTGGCTCGGCCCAAGCCCAGCAGCCCGGGCAGAAGGGGCACAATTTTGAAGACAGGCAGCCAGTTCTGCCTTTAAGTCTTCACACATTCCTTTGCTCCACAAAGGAAAATCTCCACATAGTAGAAAAATAAAATGACTGAATGCCGTGGCACTGCCCGAGCAGCCCTGCACCTGACCCCACTTGGGTCTCAGACCGGGGCAACTCTAGGCACAGTGCCCTCCACAGTTCACCCAGAGCCCCCGCTAGCCCAGAGCTCCCAGAGCGGTCTCCTCAGAGACACTCTGCCAGCTGACCCCAACGCAGCCCAGCTTGGCTTGTCCTCTTGCCACAGAAAGAGCTGAGTAGGGTAGTTTCTAGCTCCTTCTGTTCATGGGTGTGCTCAGCTCCGGGGAGTTACCACTGAGCTTATAAACAGAATTCCTGAGAATCAGAGTCCAGCAGCAGAAGGCTACACATCCTCCCCCAGCTTGTCTTCAAGGCAAGTGTCAAGGCTTCCCTGTTTCTATTTTTTAGAGACAGGGTCTTGTTGTCACCCAGGCTGGAATGCAGTGGTTCAACCATAGCTCACAGTAGCCTTGAATTCCTGGGCTCAAGTGATCCTCCTGCCTCAGTCTCTCAAAGTGCTGGAATTACAGGTGTGAGCCACTGTGCCTGGCCACAGGGGCTGCCTATTTACCCTGGGACCTCCTGCAGGTGTCTTTTCTTTGGGCCTAGTATTTTCCTAAGGACTCCTGAAAAGAACTGGTGCTTGGTCTGAAACACAACTTTGTATACATGGGGACAGTGGTGTCTGCAGCTAAGGTGGGGAATGGAGGCAGCTTGAGGTACACTAGGCTGACTTCCAGGACAGGTTCCCGTTACCCGCGGGCAGCCCGGCCAGGCCCGGGTTGCCTCCCCTTCATGAGGTGGGAGGAGGGCCCCTCAGCCCAGTGCATACCTGAGGTCCTGTCCTCCAGCTTGATGTAGGCCACCTGCCCCTTTGCAGTGATCCTCAGCCGGCCACTCCATGATGGCTGGTCCAGCTGCCACTCCGCAGCCCTAAGGGGACAGATAGCCACTAAGCCTCTGCCAGAGGCTCCTGCTCGACTCCAAAGCTGGGGATGGACCGGGAATGGAAAGGGTTTCCAGACCAGGGCTTGGCAACTGACTTTGTAAAGGGCCAGACAGTGAGTACTCAGGGCTCTGCAGGCCTCACAGCCTGTCTCAACTGGGCAACTCTGCTCTTGGAGGGTGAAAGCATCAGCTGGACAGTATGCACATGTGTTGGTGCTTTAAGTATTTTAGCTGATTATGTTCTACTGAGTGTAGCTGTAGCTCAATAAAATTGTAGAGACTCCAATCCAAAATTCATATGACCTTCACATTATGAAATAGTCTCTTTAAAAATTTTCCCCAACCATTGAAAAATATAAAAACCCTTTTTAGCTGAGGGGCCGTATAAAAACACAGTGAGTCGGAGCCTGCCAACCCACTCTAGACCAGATGTTGTCCCCGAAGTGGGACGTCTTCCAGCTTCCTTTCTGCAGAGGAAGCAGCTACAGAGGCCTGCTTCCGTCCAAACTGTTGCTCGGCTGTGGTGGTCACAGTGACCAATGGAACAATGGAGACTGTCTAGGAGGAAAAGTATGGGGGAGGGGCAGTCATTAGGAGAAAGAAAAGGACAGCAACAGCCCATGTGAGAAAAGTGAATGGTGGTTAGGAAATATTTTCTCAAAGTACCATGGACGAAAAGAACCTCAGGAGGCCAGACTCAGTGGCTCAGCCTGTAATCTCAGTACTTTGGCGACGCAGTGAAACTCCAACTCAAAAAAAAAAAAAAAGAACCCTAGAAAACCAGGGACCTACAATAAAGGTCTCTTTGGGCTCTTTTCTGTTTGTTTGTTTGTTTTTGAGTTGGAGTCTCACTCTGTTGCCCAGACTGGAGTGCAGTGGCCGCTCCCAGCCACCACAGCCTCGGCCTGGTGGGCTCCGGCGATCCTTCCACCTCAGCCTTCCAAGTAGCTGGAACTACAGGCGTGCCACTACCACGCCCGGCTGATTGTTTGATTTATTGTAGAGATGAGGTCTTGCTGCCCAAGCGGGTTTCGAACCCACGGGCTCAGGCAATCTACTCACCTCAGCCTCCCAAAGGTGCGGGATTACAGGCTGAGCCACCGAGCCCAGCTTCTTAGGGCTCTTTTAAAACAATTACTTAGCCAGGGTGCAGTGGCTCATGCCTGCAATCCCAGCACTTTGGGAGGCCAAGGCAGATTGCCTGAGACCAGCCTAGACAACAGAGCAAGACCTTGTCTCTACAAAAAATTAGCTGGGTGTGGAGGCACATGCCTGTTGTCTCAGAAGAATCACCTGCAGTGAGGCAAGAGGGAGGGAAGGAGAGAGAAGTAACAAAGTAAAATGTTGGTAGATTGAACTACATTTAAAAAATCAAGCCAGGCTTGGTGGCTCAGCCTATAATCCCGCGCCTGAACCCGCGGGTTCAAGACCCACCTGGGCAACTTGGTGAGACCTCATCTCTACAATAAATCAAAAATTAGCCGGGCGTGGCAGCGCACGCCTGTAGTTCCAGCTACTTGGAAGGCTGAGGTGGAAGGATCACCGGAGCCCAGCAGGTCGAGGCTGCGGTGGCCAGGAGCGGTCACTGCACTCCAGTCTGGGCGACAGAGTGAAACTCCAACTCAAAAAAAAAAAAAATTAAAAAAAGAAAACATTAGCTTCACATTTTAGTTCTAAGAAGCTCAGAAAGCCCCCTAATAACAGCAAGAACCACGGGTGTTTCCAGAAGACTTTTCTTGGAAGTTCCTAAGCATATTGCAGCTCTCAAGAACTCTGGGCACTGGCTGTTTTTGAGGCCCACATGAATGCAGACTCTCAGTTCACAAGTCAGCAGACTCAGTTTCAGTTCCTTTTACTGGAGCAATAGGCCTTAGATTCAGGCTAAGCAGAGCCCTGATGTTGAAGCGCAGGCACCAGCAGTTTCATCAACGCCAAACCAGTCAGCCTTGACATTTGGTAACCCCGCTGTCGGGGCACCAATGGGAGCCAAACCCATCCTACTAAACACCCAAGCGTCGGGGGTGGACTCCCATCCCTGGCTTGATAGCCCATCCCCAGTCTGATGACAGAAAGCAAATGTATTTTTATTACTGTTGTTTTCATACTACTTTAAAGTTATGTCATGGGTTCAGTAAGTGTTCAACAAAACATCTGTTCACTAGGAAATCAGTTGAACCCTTGGCAATCCAATTGGAAAATAACAAGAGGGTACACATGCAGACACTCCATTGTTCTTGCTGTGCAGCCCAATCCTGTATTTCTGAATAACTTGGACAAGCATCACTTTCAAGAACC